AGCCTGTTCCAGTGGGGCTTCTGTGGAAGATGGAGCAGGAACAATCTCTGGAGACAGGGCCAGGAGCTGACTCGGGCAACAGGAAGCCACGGAAGGGTGTTGCACAAAGGAGGAATATGGCTGTGCCCATGTTGTAGAATAATTCTTGCAGCTACGCACACCAGTGGCAAGCAGGGAGACCAGGGAAGGCTGGGTCATTTGTCTGAGAGGCTGTGAGAAGCTGGAACTGGAGGGGGAAGCCCGGAGCTCAGATATCTATCTCTAATCAGAAGGGCTGGTAACAGAAAACAGACTGGGGTTCAAACTTGCTTATTTGTCCTCCCAGACCTCAGTTTCCCTTCCACAAAGGACATAAAGCTGTGTTGTCTTCCCTGAGTCAGCGCATGTGCTGACTATGAGAGGTCCTCATGAGAGAAGGAGCGGACCCAGGTGAAGGCTGCAAGCCTGTTTGTCTCAGCGATTTCTTGAGTCCCTGCCCCACTGTGCTGGGTGCTGGAGACAAGCAGTGAGTACACCAAGTCCCTGACATCAGTGAGTGTCCTCTGGTGGGGGAACCAGACACTGTAGAGCAGTGATAAAATGAGAACATGTGGGTTGGGTTAGACACAATGTGGGGGTCATGAAGCGGTCCCAAGGGCATGCGAACAGTGGCTCCAGGATGTGAAGGGGAAGGCTGCTGGGGACAGTGGCAGAAGGGACTGCTATTGCCGGGCCTATGTGGACCAGGGAGGGGCCCTTTCTCAAGGATCTGGCCCAGTGCTGGGTGAGACAGGAGTGCCCGGGGGGCTCCTTGAGATTTAATCCATGGTGAGTGGTTGACTGGGTGAGTGCAACTCACACACCTTCCTGGGGTCCTACTGTGTGCGGGTCATCAGGCCGGAGAGGTTGGCCCTGAGTGTGTACACCAGTGTCATCTGCTGTAAAAGGAAAGATGCAGGCGGGGGCATCATGGGGGCATCTAGCCAGATCGGGTGTGCAGCAGTGGCTTCTCTGAGGGGGTGGTGCTGAGCTCCAGGTGCTGAGCCCACGGGAAGGAGCATTCCAGGCAGGGGAGGAGTCAGGGCAGAGGCCCCAGCATGCAAAGGGGCCTCCTGCAGCTGCTGTCTTCAGAGGACAAGAGCCCCAGCCTCTCTCTCTCCTCTCAGACCAAGTGAGGAGGCAGCCTGGCTTTTCCTGCTGACCGTGTGACCACATGGGTCCCTGGCCTGCGTTTAGCCGTGGAACCACTTCCTCCTGTTCCACCGCTGCCTCCCTGAGTCACCATCCTGTTCCCAGCCTAGAGGGAACCAGGGTGTTCTGGACCTTCAGGATGTAGTTTTTGCCATGTGTGGAAGAAGGGGCAGAAAGGACTGAGCAGAGGGCATGTGACCTTCCAGGGAGACTGTTTTTATTCCAGTTTGGTTCTTGTTGACCAACTTGTACACATAGTGTGCAGCACAGGATTTCAAACCTACCAGTCCTGGTAGAATCATTATCACTATTTTACAGATGAGGAAACAGGCTCAGAGAGGTGAGCATACTGGCTCAAGGTCACACAGCAAGGAGGCAGAGAAGCCAGAAACTGAGTCTCTTACTTTCTCTGTATATTAGTCCTTCCTCCCCCTGCCTCTGCAGCAGAGACACCACCTTGGCAAGGGATAAGTTGGGTTGAGGCTGACATGCCTACGACCCAAATACCTATTTATTCCACTTAAGAGGCACTGACACTGTACTTTTCCCTGTTCCACTCTGCAAATATTAACTCATGTAATCCTCCCAACTCCATGGAAATAGGCCTGTGAGTGTTCCTGTTTACAGGTGAGGAAAACAGGGAAGGGAAGCAGCTTCCCCAAAGTCACACAGCTAGGAAGTAGTGGCTGGGATGTGACTCAGGCAGCAGGTGGTGGGAGGGTGGGAGTCTAATCTGTACAGGGAAGTGGTGAGGATAGGGATGTTTGGGCTGTGGCCCAGGTGCCTGGGCTCATGCACTCCCAGGGGCCCATGGTACCTACCTTCTGGAGGGAGAGGGTCTCCCCTGCACCACACCATAGAGGTAGAGGCAGCTGGGATGGGCAGTAGGTCAGGGCCGTAGAACGCCGTCCACCAGGGAAGGAGGCAGTGGGGGTGGGAGCCGCCAGAGATAAGACAGTGCAGGAGTCTGAGGCAGGCCAGGCCCATGGGTGCAGTGGCCTTCTGGGGGTAGGGGGCGCTCCCTGAGCTGGGGCAAGCAGGCCATAGGCCAAGGGGTGAGCTTCCCCCAGCCCCTCAGAGCTGCCTCCCTTGGGGCACAGTCCTCCCTTTCCTGGAGCCCTGTAAAGGGCTACTCAGAAATTGGGTGGCAGATGCCCTATCAACTCTGAAAGTCCAGGAATCTGAGCTGATGTGACTCAGAACTCTGGAATATTCTTAAATACCACTGATTCTACCATTTTAGGCTTTGTGTTAGCCCCATTCTGCAGGGGGACTCAGTGTCCCTTCTACGTTTTTTATGGTGCTGGAGGTGGACTCAGAGCCTTTCACATGCCGGGTGATCCCTCCACACTGAGCCAGCGCCCCAGCCTCCTGCTGCCCTTGTTTTTGTCTAATCTGCTGCTGCTGCTGCCAAGCTTCAGGTCCCCACCTATGAGTAGGGCCCTGTAGTCAGATTCAGATGTGATGGTCCCTGTTCCCCTGAGAGTTCTTTGGTGAAGACAGCAGAGGTGGTCAGTGGATGGGTTGAGAAGACAGCTCTGCTTCTGCCTTGCTGTGTGACCCTGGGCATGTCATTTACCTCTTGTGGCCTCAGGCTCCGCATCTATGCCAAGATGCTCTTAATCTGGCCCATCCAGATTAGGAGCATGCATTGTACCTGTGCTTGCCCAGGTGGGGGGTGGTCGGATGGGAGCCAGAGGTGTCAGTTGGTCATGGAAAGAATGTGAGGGCAGGAGGCCCAGTGGGTGGGGTCTCCCAGCTGGGCAGTACAGAGGGCACCATGAGCTCATGGCGTCTAGGCCTTCTAGCCAGCACCTCCTCGGATGGGACCTCCTCCAGGCTGTCCTTTAGGTCAGGCCCTCCCTGGGGACTCAGACCCAAAGGCAGGCTGCCCCCCACCCTACCCAGCAAAGGGAACAAAACCCAGGCCCAGAGAGGCTGGCGCTGGTCCAGGCTCACACTGCAAGGCCAAGGCGGGCGCTGGGCCCAGGGTCGGGCTTGGGAATTGGGGCTGAGAGGCTCATCTTCATTTCTTGACAGATGAGAAGTCCTTAAGGGGGGAGGGGTGCAGGGGAAAGGGCTCATACCCAGAGCAAGGTGGGCACCCTTGGTGTGGCCAACCCCATCTCTGTTCATGTTCCCCTAAGGCAGGGTAAACAGGGTGTCAGCCTAGCCCAGAGATTAATCCTCCTGGAGGATGGGCAGGATGCTTTGCCAGGTCTTCCCCAGCTCAGGACATAGGCTGGGAAGGCACTGGGGTCACCAGGGTACCATGGGAAGACAACACAGGGAACAGTGCCAGGCAGGCAGAGGTGGCCTTCCCTGACCCAGCTGAGGGAGAGCCCCTGCCCTCTGACTCTGCTCCTCTGCATGCCTGTCTTTCCGTGCTCAGTGCACTCCCATCCCCCCATGCACTACCCCATAGGGCATATGCGCAGTGCAACCCACCCCCCTTGTACACAGCTTCTCCCTTTCCTGGGGCCACAAAGCTACCTGTGGGAGGCAGGGCAGACCCTCACCCTCACTGGGAGACAGCTTGGGGTGGCGGGGGTGGGGGAGGGCAGCAGACATAAGCGGCTTGCTACAGCTGGCTAGGCTTCTTCCCAGCCCCTTCCGGCTGCAGGGAGCCCCCACGCAGTAGGTCCTGCTCCACCTCAGCTCTGGAGTCTGTGGGAACCAGACAGTTAGGGCTGTCCAGCCGGGCTCGCTTCCTCCTAGGCCCCGGGGGACCTGAGAGGGGAGGAGGGAGCCACAGAGGCTGAAGTCAGCATGGCTGGCTGCCCAAGGAAGGCCTCTGGGAGGACTGGCTCGCCTGCCCAGTGCAGGGGTCTCCAGCTCTGCGGGTGTCACCTCATGTGACATTAAGACCCTCAGGCCCTATACCAAAGATAAAACTAGGGGTGTCCCAGCATCCATTTGCCTCTCTCCTATCCATGACCCAGAGGGGAGGACTCAGGCTCCAGGAGGAACTGAACTGCCTCTACTCCTTCAGTACTGGTGGCTGTGGGACATCGAGGTTTCAGTTCCTCTGATGAGTGCCTCAAATACCCTATTCTCCGGTCTCCACTCCAGGGAATAGCTAGAGAAAGTTCAAACTTAGGGCATGATAACTTCTAATGAGGACTCAGGACAGGTCTGCCCCTGCCCTGCCCCAAGAAAATGCTTTTATCATGTCACCAAGACACCTCTGCTGGTGACAATCCAGGTGAGGACCCCATTAGTGCAGGCAGTCCAGATGGGAGTGGCACTGCCCTTGAGCCTTGGGGTCCCTGTCCATGCACGGGGGAAGGTGGGGCCTTCTGGCCCTGATGTTCCAGGGCTGCAAGAGAGCCTTCCGTCCTCTGGAGTACCACCAGCCCCGCCCTGCTCATTCTCCACCCTGCATCTCCCTCAAGCCACAGGGCAAAGACACACACTCCTGAGTGCCACTCCTCTTGGTTGCCCCTTTGCCAGCCAGCGTTGGGGGCAGGCTGGTGAGCCCAAATTCCGAGCCTCAGTTGCCACCACTGTAACCCAGGCTGGCATTCCCATCACCCAGGGAGGAGGCAGGTGCCATTGTAGTTTGGGCTGGACAACCCAAGTCCCTCGGGTGGCCCAGCCTCCTCCACTCTCGGTAATATCCATCCGCTGCCTGGCCCCATTCTCTGCCTTCCCTTCCTCTGCTTTCCTGGGAAACTCCCAGAGAAAGTCCACAAAGACATGTGGGACATTTCCTTTATGGGTCCCCACCTCTGTCACAAAACTCCACAACCACAGCCACCACACAGGGAGCCCAGCATCTTGACCCTCAGCCCCCCACCATCCAGCAAGCTGATCTTTACAATCACAATGACTTTTATTGGCCGGAGAGCCACAGCATCAAGTGTAAGCAACTCCACCTTCCCTCACCCCCAAGTCTGGTGGTCCCAATGGCGTGGCTGAGTGTTGGCTGCTGCAGTTCTGGCTTCCCATCCTAACTGACCTTGTTCTGCCAGGGCTGGGTCCCTTAAGAGCTCTCCAGGTCCTAGAGCCAGGCTCAGCCTGGAGGGTGTCCTTGACAGGGGCCCTGTGGAGGTGAGGCCAGGTTACTCAAAGAAGAACACTCCTGGTGTCCGGTATAGGCAGGGGGGCAGCCCCAGTGGGTAGCCAGAGCCTCCTTGGACAGGGAAGCTCCCTGCAACCCAGGGTTCCTTGGGTTCAGCTGCCAGGGGCAGTGGGGCCCGGAGGGAGGAAGGAGGGGTGGGTGGTGCAGGGGATGGGGCTGCTGAGGCCAAGATATGCTCCAGACCTGCATCAGCCCCCATGCAGAAATTCAGTGCCTGTAGCCGACACTGATAGTTGCTGCCAACGCCCGCCTCCGGGGTTGCTGGTGTAGGGGCCTTGCTAAAACCCTCTGCCTCAGAGAAACCAGTAGAAAAGCCAAATGCCGAGCAAGGGGAAGACGAAGTGGTCATGGAGAGATTCCCAGGGTCTGCAGGCTTAGGCGTGAGCATCTCTTTGGGCTCCACAGGTGGCCGGGGCCTGCTGTCAGCAGTTGCTGGGTACATGCTGGCTGGTATGGCCCCCATCAAACCCCCAAAGCTTAGGCCCTTGGGGTTGGGCAGCTCTGGCAAGAATGGGCACTGCCTGCCAGTCGTAGTATCAGGGACTCCTGGGTCCTGGCTGGTGGCTCTGAGGGGTCCACGGGGCGCCTTGGCAGAGCTCTTGGTGCCTTCAGTGCCTGCCCGCCGGGTGAAGCGGCGTCGGCGTCGGAGGAAGCTGCCGTGCTGGAACATGTCGTGGCAGTCAGGGTCCAGGGTCCAGTAGCTGCCCTTGCCTGGCTTGCGGTCGTCACGGGGTACCTTGACAAAGCACTCGTTGAGAGACAGATTGTGACGAATGCTGTTTTGCCAGCCAGGCCTGTTGTGGCGGTAGAAGGCAAAGCGGCCCATGATGTAGCGGTAGATGCCGCTGAGTGTGGCCCTCTGCCCTGGCGAGCTCTGGATGGCCATGGCGATCAGGGCTATGTAGCTGTATGGGGGCTTGGTGGGTTCTGTTGCAGGGACCAACGACCCTGGTGGTGGCGGTGGCTGCTGCATGCTGCCCAGGCTGGCGGCTGCTGGAACTACAGAGGCCAGGCACAGGCGTCTAGGACTGGTGTCCGGTACAGCCTGCCTGGGCTGGTTAAAAGGCCCACTGGCCCAGCCTCCCAGCCTGGAAAGGCAAAAAGGGGTGGGCCCACCAGCCTGCCCTTCCTCCAGCCCTCACCACCCCCTAAAAGGCCCAAGAGGGCTGAGAAGCTGGAAGCAGCTGTGGCTGGGGTGGGAGGGAAGGGAGAGAGACCCTCAGCCCAGGGGGGCTGGGCTGCAGGGGTGGAGAGGGACAGGATGCGAAGTGGAGCGAGACCGGGACACAGAAAGAGGGAGGAATGTAAGGAAACAGAGAGGCAGAGCCATGAAAAGAAAGATGAAGATCAGAGAGAGACCAACAAAATGGACAGAGACAGCCAGAGACACAGACACGCAGAGACACGTAGCTTTGGGAGAGTGGAAGTCACTGGAGGCAGAAAGAAGGAGCGGCAGAGACACAGGTGCAGATGCAGGTGCGGGCTGGGGCCTGGTGAGAGGCCAGAGGTGGGTGGATTCTGAGCAGAGTGCCCACAGCATGAGGGAAGCCTCTGGGCTCCCCTAGTCTTTCTTCTATTCCCTTTTCCTCTGCTCTTCTATCCCCTCACGCCCACCCCACCCCTTCAAGTGCAGAGCCCTGGCCTGGGGCACAGCCATCCCTGTCCCCTTGGCAGCAGGCTTGGGGTGGCCTTTGGGGTGGGGGGAACACTGTGCTGAGCTGAGCCCTGGCGCCCTCTGGTGACTGGCATGGGGAGGCAGTGATCTGGGCAGCGAGTTTTCCCTCCTAAGGGATTTGCAAGACCCTGGCCAAGTCTCTGACATGGTGTCCGGGCCGCAGTGAGGAGGCAGGGAGTTCCCCTGTGCAGAAGCCGCAGCCCATGTCTGTGGATTGTCACTCTGAGTGGAGGCTCCTCCACTCAGCATTTGCCACAAACTGTCTCTCAATGAGTGCTTTGTCAAGGTGCCCTGTGACGACCGCAAGCCAGGCAAGGGCAGCTCCTGGGCCCTGGACCCTGACTGCCACAACATGTTCCAGCACAGCAGCTTCCTCCCACACCAATGCCGCTTCACCCAGCGGGCAGCCTGGTTGAAGAGGCCTCAAACCAGGCAGCCTCCAACCAGCAGCCAGCCCTTTTGACAGATGCGTAGGTCTTCCCTGCCAGGCTAATGGTCACCTACTCTGTGTTGGGCCAGCAGAGAAACCCTGTTACAGAGGTCTACACAGCTTCTTGAATAGATGAGGGGGCTAAAGTGCAGAGAAGTTAAGTGATTTGCCTGAGGTCACACAGCTAGCAAATGATAAAGCTCAGATTTGAATCTAGGACTCTGTAACTCCTTAGCACCATCCCTTCTGTGAGCATCAGGAATAAGGGACAGTCACAGGGACCTCAACTAGAAAACAAGTTGTGAGCCCCAAGACAGTAAGGACTATGCTATTTTGCTGTATCCCAAGTCATGGACATGGAAGCAGCAGGCGTAACACAAATGTGTGTTCAATGACTAAAAAAGTGATTGATTCACTTCTGTCCTTTATGGATTTCCTCTTGGTTGATCCTGGCTGATCCTGTAGCTCGTGGCAGAGTGTACGCTTAGCATGCTCAAGGCCCATGGGTTGATCCCCAGCACACACATAAAAAGTGGCTTATTAATTTTTTTTTGTAAAAGGGAAAGGGGCTTCATTATCTTGGAGGACATGGAGAGAATTTGGGGAGATAAGGAATTCTCTCTAATATGTTTTTTTTTTT